CACTATTTATCGTACAGTTGATGAGCACTACAAGGTCAGTACGGCTGCCATGTGAAGTACCACCCTTTTGACTCATACATAACAAACCTGATTCATCTGTAAAAAAACAGCATCGCCAGTGTTAGTCTATCCAATGGATAGTATCCGTGTCCTGTCGCATGTTCAACCTGGGGCATTTGAAACTTCTTCGGGCACGTAGCTGCCTATCCTTAAATCTGTCTCGGATCGTTAGCATCGAAACTTTAAGTCATGTAGCGTGTCGAAGCTTTCTTGCCCAAAGTCTAGGATTGCCTCTTGCTCGTCTAACAAGTAGACGATATTCCGCTATTGAAGTTATTCTTGGACGACTTTAACCATGTGAGCTTAGGGCACTACCTGTTGGCAGAAGCTGTTGTCCTGCTCTATATTAACACTCAGTGACACATTGAGCAAATTTGCAATTTCTTTCTGCCTCGTGCAATTTTGTATAAGGTTTGCCACAATATTAAACTGCTCTGGCATTAATTTTTAGTAACGGCATTATGCTTTTTTATTGTTTATATGCAACTGTCAAATTAAGCAGCTGATACTTGATATTTTACACCCAGGTAAAATATTAAAAAACGAGTTTTTTAAAAAGTCCCACTTTAATTTGTGACAAGTTTAAAACCAAAGTTTATGTTTCCCATTACATTTTAACACCTTAAACAAAGGGTGATTCCATTATCGCAAGTGCATTATTTAGACCCATTTAGTTTAGTTTCCAACTTTTGTGATATGTTTGTTTCCTACTAATAAAATAAAAAAATTCTTAATGAAATTATTCTTTAAGGGCTAATGTTTCTAAGCGCGACAAAATTTACCAAAAAAGTACTCTCTTAAAATGAATTAGTCAAAAATAACTAATTATAAGTCATATTTGACTAATTGTCATGGCGAAAAAGCAGTCACTAATAATTAGTCAAATTGAGGAGGTCCATTCCAAAACTCGGCTTATCCACTTTTTAATCTATTGGTTATATCATGCAGAACTCGGCATATACGTATGTAATTTTAAATTATTTTAAACTGGAGCTATACATTTTTAATCAAGGTATATAAATGTTTTACTTATGCCTTTATATTTCGTTTAAATTATTGGGTTTGCCTGATATGCGTTAGTACTCACGTGTAAGATTTTTGACATTTTGCTCGAAAACAACTAATATGGATAATACGAGTTTTGGAATGCACCTCCTCAATTCTACTGAATGGAATAGTGAAATTAGTGGATTTAAATTTTAAAAAAGTTTTGACCCAACCGGGGATTGAACTCAGGTCTGTCACTTGTCAAGCTGTTGTCATAACCCATTCGGCCATCAGCCGCTCTTATAAAAATCAATTTTATTTGTCAATAAATATTGTTCATAATATTTTAAAGTTGAATATATTATTTGTGTTGCTGTTTTGAGCTAAACTTTTTGCATCTTTATGTGTTTTTATGGGTCATTTAACCATGGAGTATATGCATTTAATTAAAATAATACTTTGTTGTTGGCCGCAAACGATTAAAGAAATTAGTTACTTTTAACTCTCAGAAATCTTAAATTAGTCAAACTTTTAACTATTTACGTAGTAAAAAATGACCATTTAAAAGTAAAAACGATTTTATTAGTAAAAAATGCTGGTACTAACTCAATTAGTAGAATTTTGACTATTTAATTTTTAGAGAATAGTCTTTTTTATTTCATTTAGATCGGTTTTTTATTGAAATTAGATAAAGTAACAAATACTGCGATTTAAAAATTGATGTCGAGAATCGTCTACAGCCCCAAAGTAAATGTTCAAATGTAAATATATAATAATGATTAATAATAATAATATTAATTTTTCTAAATTGAATTTTTCTAATTTCAGGGAGCCTCTTCCAGCTTAGTAGTAAAGTTTGCCGATACTGAAAAGGAACGCCAACTAAGACGAATGCATCAGATGGCTGGAAATATGAGTCTCTTAAATCCTTTCGTGTTCAACCAGTTTGGAGCTTATGGAGCTTACGCACAGGTAAACTAAATGCCAAGAGGGGTTCGAATTCTTTGCCAGTAAATGCTGTTTGAATGTTTGAAATGTGCCCTCACTTTACAATTGTGTTTTCGTACATTTTAAACTATTTATTTTGTGTATACTTTATTTAATACTAGCGACTTTGTTAGCCTAAAATTAGTACTTGACATAAGCTATGATTAGGGCTAGTCAAAGGTCAAACGTTAAAAGTCAAGAGAATTATTATGCTGTTATTTAAATAACATACGTTGTCCAAGAAAACGTGTTTGTACAGGAAAAGAATAACAATCTGGATAATTATTGACAATATCAAATAAATCTTTCAATTTTTTCCTAATATTTAAAAACAAAACATAAATACAGAGGCATGTTTCAAAACAATTAAAAATAATTATTGACTTCATCAGATAGGTAAACTAAAAATGTTAAAACCGTGTATACAAACCAGCATGTCAAGTTTAATTAATGTTCGTACATTTTATCATGGGTAGTAGGACACTTATATAATTTAGTCACGAAATAAAGGCATTAAGTCTAACCCCTAAAATACCTATTCGATCTATTTAACTCTTTATTAGCATTTGATATATCTTAATTAATTAAAGTTAATAGTAAATTAAACAATGTACCTATTTGCTTAATTAATTAAATTAAATTTACCCCCTAAAAACTTATGTTTTGTATTCTAAAGCTTGCATTACCTTTTGAAACAATCAAGGACAATTTAAATCATGTAAGTAATCCAGATTTAATAATTATAATTATGATTAAACTTAACTCCTTAAAATTAATATTACTCTCTTATACCTAAATACATTTAAACACAGAAAATTAATTCAAGGAGTTAAGTAGGTATATTATAAAATTTATGCATTTAATGTTGCATTAGAAAATATAATTTTCGTCATCGATTTATCATTAGCAAGTTTTTGTCATTATTAAGTATTTTATTTTTATAAAAGACCGAGCGTCTATCTTACTATTTTATATATTTAGTATTTTTATCGGTTACAAAGTTTTAAATAAAAATAATAAAGATGTTAAACCTAACAATTTACACTTTACATTTTAACGTAATCATATAATCTGATATATTTATACATTATAACCTCAAAATTTAAAAAAGTGGAGGTAATACCCTTTGTCATTGTTTACTCTTTTTAAAACATTTTAAGTCATATCTTAAGATTCGAGTCTAGACTTCGGTTTTTATTTAAAAAGAATTTTCTTGTCTAGCAAGCAATTTAATTACAAGAGTAGTACTTTATATAAAACAAATACTTCACTAGGAATTAAAAGCGAAACAGATTTTAATTAATTTATAAACTTGCAGCAACAGGCCGCCCTAATGGCCGCAGCGACAGCACAAGGCACGTATATTAATCCGATGGCGGCCCTGGCTACGCAAATACCACACACAACACTTAATGGAATGGCTAACTCGGTTGTTCCCCCCACGTCAGGTATGTAACATGACATTGTTATCGAAAAAAAAACAAAACAAATTCAATTTTGATAAAAGTAATTCAATACCTTAATGGATTTTAAGGTAATGAAAAAACATTGATCATGTATTGTTTTTTGTTTATTGTAATAATACTTAGACATTGTATATTTTTATTTATATAAACTATAATATATAACAAAAATTAGAGAAATGAAACAATGGGATACAAAGTTATTGTTAGTATAGGAAGTTTATTTTAAATTTAAAACAAATCTTTTTGACATTATAATAATAATAAATATTAAGAAAAGGTTCAAACCATCATTGTAAGGAACTATACAGGGTGTAACTAAAATACTTGGCGAAACTTTACGAGCGTGATGTATGAAACAAAACTGTTAAAAAAGATCCTATGGATATAGGGTATTTTTTACTGGGTATCGCCAAAATTATTTGTTTACAGTCTACAAATTTTTGTATGATTTTATTTAACCCTGCCTAAATGACGCTAAAATTGCAGCCGAAGAAGTAAATATATAAAAATATATACGTACTAAATTAGGCAGTTTAGTAAATAATTAAAATCAAAAGCGACGTGATTGGTAAACAGCAAATACCGAGTTTTGCATCCGACAGGAATACCCAGTTTTGCATCTGCGTTAAATTTTTAAATGTATTTTATTCTACAAATATTAACTTATGCATCTGGTTTACTGAGTTATGCTGTAGGCAGTGCAGTAATGTACTATTGCGGCCGATAAAAAGTAATCGACTAATTTTCCCGTTGTAAATATGGTTGTCACCAGTGGCATTTCATAAATAATTTTATAAAATTAAGTAACGTCATCTTAAATTAAGTAAAGTCATTATTTAATTAATCTTACCATACTTTAAGTGAAGCAGAGAAAGGCTATATTATCGCCAAAATTGGAAAAGAATGGTCTCAACAACAAATAGCAGATGAAATAAACTGCAGCAAAAGCGCTATTCAAGAATTAAACAAAAAGTGGGTGGAAACTGGTGACCTGAGTAGGGTAATGGGTTCTGGGCGTCCAAGAAAGACAACTCCAGTAAACAACAACGAGTTGGTTAAATATGTGAGGAAAACCCATTTTCTAACTCCATTCAAGCCAAAGAGGAAACCAACTTCCCAGCATCTGTTAGGACGGCAAGAAAACGGTTACGAGAACAAGGTTTATTTAACTGCGTGAGTGCTAAAAAGCCTCGCTTGACGGATGTTAATAAAGAGGCAAGAGTGGAGTTTGCAAATAATTTTTTAAATCAAAACGCTGAATATTGGGAGCGAGTAGTCTTTTCAGATGAAAAAATATTTCAATCCTGCTACAATGGGCAACTTCGAGTTTATCGTCCCAGAAACCATAAGTTTGATGAAGAATACCTCCACAAAACTGACAACAGCGGAAGATTTTCTGTCCACGTGTGGGCGTGGATATAATCTTCAGGGGCTGGTATAATTCATATTGTAGAAGGCCGATTAACTGGGAACCGATACGTGGAAATTTTAAACAATGTAATGCTCCCGTCAGTGCAAGAAAGATTTGATAATGATTCAACACGTAACACTTTATGATTTATCTTTCCTGATCAAAAAAATATATTTTTTTCATTTTAAGGATAACTCGCCAGTTCACACTGCTCATGTGGTTCATAATTGGCTAGAAAAAAATCACATTACAACGCTTTCTTGGCCGTCAAGAAGCCCCGATTTAAACCCAATCGAAAATATTCGGGGATATCTCGTAAAAAAAAATATATAAATATGAATTTAGACCAAGACATAGGGAAGACCTTATTAATGCAATTCAAAACGAGTGAAACAATTTGGAAGAAAATTACGATATGCAAATTAGTTCCATGCCTAGGAGATTACAAAATGTTATAGAGAAGAATGGTGGTTCTACCAAGTAGTAATTATTTTTTTTTAATGGAGTATTTATAGCATTACAAATGTGTAAGATTATGTAAGATAATGCCCGAGGGAGGGCTGAATGAAAAAATTAATTAATTAACAATTTGTTCTTTTTGTTTGTATTACGAATAAACATGCTTTATATAATTTAAGTTTTTTTATTAAAAAATTAAATATGTCATACACCTATGACTTCTTGTCAAAATAATTTAATTGACATGACTGACGTAAAAAACCCTACTTACAATAGCCAATTTTTAAGAAAAACATGCAACTTGATAAAGAATCGATTACTTTTTATCGGCCGCAATAGTACATAAATAGGATAAAATATATATTTTTTAAAAATTTGCAAAAACCGGGTTTTGCATCTAATGTACTAATGAAATTATCATCTAAATTATTTGTTTACAGTTTAAAATATAAAAAATAATTAAAAATTAAAAGTATTTATTTATTTTAATTTTTAAAGTATACGTAAGTTACTTAAAATCAATAAACTTACCTTATCAATTTAAATAAAGGCACTATAAATAAGAATTTATTATACAAACACAATTAATTGTGTTCTAAATGACATTTAGACATACCTACTCATATAAATTTTGAAACGAATGTCAAACGATGCTGTCAATTTCTTTCTTCTCGTTTTGCCTTGCCAATGAAAATATTCATTTTCTAAGCAACGGTGCCAATACGAAATGTTACTTTTACATAGTGGTCGTAGAAAAAATTGTTTTTATAATGTAAACAAATAATTCAGATGGATACCCAAATAAAAAAAGCCACACTAAATAAATTTGGAAAGTATTTCTAGAAAAAAAAAAGATGACATTGTTTTGTTTCAAATTTTGGGGTAAAATTTTCTGCAAAAATTTGTCTATTTTTTATGTTATTTACATCGTTTTATTTAGTGTTTATGTTTTGTTAAGTGTTAAGTTTATTTTTAATAACTTAAGATAAACTGTTAATATTCTATTCTGTGAACATCATCAAATCAACTAATTTTCTCATTAATATTTTCATCAAAATATTTGTAGATTTTTCTATATGTAAAGAAAAGTGATAGTTTCTTATTGAGTCGAAATATATTGATTCAAGAGCGTAGCGTTTGGAGTTACTAAAAAGAGAATGATGTTATAGAAATAAAAAAGTTTTTAATTAATACTCTTATCCTAACATATTATGGATGGGTGGTTCATAAAAAATATAATTCTACCAAAGCAACATGTTTTTACCTTATGTTAAAAACTTAATTTAATTATTATTATTATTAATTAATTAATTTAATTATTATTATTATTATAGGTGTCGATGTTGGCGGTGCATCTGGCCAACCAAATGGTACAATGCCGAGTTTACCTTCGCCCACGATGCCCACATTCAACATGGCAGCACAAACTCCGAATGGCCAACCGGCTGGAAACGAAGGTGTATATACCAATGGGATTCCGCAATCATACCCAGCTCGTAAGTGACATTCTTAACAAAGTATACTTGCGGCTTTTAAGGCCTACTTAACTCCAATATAATTTCTTAAAATGTAGAAAAAAGTTAATCTGGCCATATTAGCCGCAAGAAAATCTATAGAAATAGCAGAATGACAAATTTATATCATTTAAAACCTCTGTTGGTTAGTTTAAGACATGGTAGTAACAGAAGTAATTAATAAACCTACTTTAAACTGCCTCTGAATTTAATATTATTATTTGAAGGGGTAAAAAGCAAAGTGGTACAAGTGTAAAAAAAAAGTGGAGTTATTAACTTTTAAAGTTTTTGCTATTCACAAAAATCGGGATACTTGTTTCAATATAGTTGTTTGCATTAATCAACATGCAGAATTTTTACATTATGAGAAAATTTGTACTACCCAGTTCTGTATGTCTGGTTAATAATTCTGCTTTAAATGTAATGTACATACGAGGGCATATTGAGTCTTATAATAAGAATGTAGGTAATCTTCTAGGCTAAATTAAGTTTTATTTTTTAACAAAATATTCTTTTAGCTTCATACACTTAATCCAGAGATATTCTAACTTTATTTCTTCAGAACTCTTGCTCTTTTTCGTCAAAAAATAAATGTACAGCTTCAATTACTTCCACATTTAAGGCACATCTCTTTCCAGCCAACCATTTTTTTCTAGAATGAAAAACTCAGTGGACCAATACGGAGGATGCGGTAGCAATTCTTAGGCTAATTCTAGTCTTGGTGAAACATGGTTTTTGTCTTTGTCAATGAGGACGTTTTTTATATGTAAATGTTCATCCAACATTCAAAATCTATCTAGTTGAAAAACCTATGGTCTTAGCAATCTCACATATTCACCCTTTTATATTCCAATGAGATTGTGCGGACTTGTCGTTCAGTATCATTTTTCTATGTGCGATCATGACCAAATTAGGCAAGTTGGTGTAATTTGACGATACTTACTGTTTTTTCCATTTAAAAAAAAATGCAAAAGTTGCTCGACACAAAGGCTTGTAAAATCAAAACTTGTTGACAGATTGATATAAAATTTTGACAGGAATCGTTTGAAGGGTGGTTCTTGTTAATCGTGTCAACAATTTATAATTGTGCCCTCGAACATGTTAAACATATTATTTTATTTTTTAGCGTTCTATAGTTTAAGGCTCAACGCTCACTACCAAAGTATTCGATTATCTCCTAGGCTGTAAAAATAATTTAGAACAATACGGTTTCTTACATCCCTGTCTGAAGCTATTTAACCTCACTTTATACTTTTAATAATGGTTATTATAATTGTAAGTACGTTTCGTTTAACAAATAAAAATGTGCTTTGAATATAAAATGTTGTATGCCATTCGGCTGAGATATTTCTTTTTGTTCTTCGCTCAATTGTAGGCCTCCGCTGACGCTGAACACAAAAAGACTCACTTTTCTGCCTTATGGCATAAATAACTATTATCTTCAATGCACAAAAGATACATACAATTAAAATAACAATTATTAAAAGCACGGTCTTCAAACTTCAAACTTTGAGCTCAGCCTTATGACATAAATAACATTTTTTTTACTTCTATGAAACGTAATAAATTGCTTTTTAATGTAAACTTTGATTTTAATAAATTAAAATTACTACTTAAATAGTTAAAGAACCGAGTTGTTGACAAATAATTTAATATTGTGACTGGAAAAATTTCATTAACCCACTTTTTGTCTAATAACTTTTAATGTGGTATAGTAGAATAACAAAATATACCCAATTTTTTTTAAAATTTGCTATAGGAATAACAGGAAAATATTTTTTTAAATTTTTTCCTCCTGCATTCCATATGGCCATTCTTTTTTATGTAAATCGATGATGATCCTTAAATTATCTACAAAAAATTACTTTAATCAAGTTTTTGTCGATAATATAATTATTAATATTATCGATAATATAATTATTAATATTTTATTTTTTTGTCGTAAAAATAATATTTTTATATTTTTTTTGTTAATATTTCGGTTTTTGGATCTAGAAACTAAACTATTCATGATTGGTCAAAAAGTTTAATTGCAATTTTGTATTACATGTAATTGGCTACAAAACAAAATAATAATAGTTATTTGTATACCAAGGCCGCGAAATCGCGGAAAAATTGGAAAAATTGCAAAATTGACAATCTCGAGGACTTGGTTTTGAGGCTGTGGTATACACAATATTTTTTTGGCAACCGTAAAAAATAAAAATAAGTACCGTAAACACGGGTGGCTTTGGCTCACTTTCAAACTTCAGCTAAAAATTTTTGTGGTTTTAACAATCATAAACATTAAATTTTGTATACCAAAATTTGAGTCTTGAGTTGCTCTTTCATAATAACTATGTTATAATATAACATAGGGCTGAGTTTCAAAAATAAACATTAAAAACTGGGTGTGCAAAGTTACCCCCTGGTTGCGGGTTACTTTGTCTCACAGTGTTTTTTCAGTATAAAATGAATGTAATATTATATTTTATTTTTATTAGACACGTGTTAGCAGCGACATATATCTATTGCAAGGGATTACCAATAAAAAAAATAAAGAATCGACCTGTAGTTAACCAAGGATCATCATTCCAATGGATTGCGCATAATATAGAAATTTTAACGCGTGTATTTCTAGACTTTTGCACTGATACGATATATACAATTTTAAAGTGTAATAAATCCCATTTCTTTCTTTAAAACACTGATTTTCCTGTAATATAAACTCAATAGAATCGCTCAATTGACAGGTTTAGACCAACAAATTATAAATGTTAATTTTATCGAGCGCGAAAAGATTTTTCATAAATGGGTTAAAGTCACCCGCGGGGTGCAAAGTCACCCGTATTTACGGTACCTACAAGTTTTATTGCTACATTGGAAACTTTAATTATACTTATGTAAAAGAATCTATTATCTGATAATAAATTATAAATAATTCAATAATCTAGAATGGTTTCCATGGAAATGGCAAACAATTAAATGAGATATAATTTTTGACAGTAATAGATGTGTCAAAGAAAAGTAACAATGTTTAATTCTCAAAGTGATAGTGATACTTTGAACTAAAAATTGCTGCGAATTCTGCAAATCTAAGACTCGTGCAACAGGAAGGACGCCAAAAGTTTATCTGAAAATGTATTATTATCTTACCTTATAGAAAAATCGAAGACCTTAAAAATTTCAAGCTTATGGAGTGTGTATTCAATGCTTAAGTGCATGCTTAATATAAAAGAAGGCATAGACGTGAGAAATAATTTCTAAAAACTGCCCATTCACATGTGTCAAAATAAATATATAAGTGACATTTACTTTAACGGCCGTCGCTATGACAAATGTTACTTCGCGTACGGTTGCCCAAAAACAAGTTTATTGGATCATTTATACTATATTATAGGTGCTTTCCTTTTGCCACGATTCTTAGATATTCTTACCTCACCTTGGTTTATCTCACTTTAAAGACCGTTCCATTTGCAAAATGACAGGTAAGCCAAAGTGAGAACTTTACCTCCCCCCTTACCGATCAAGCACAACCTCCGGAGCAAACTTACAAATGAGAAATTTTGATTACTTGGTGGTGGGGATAGATGCACGCCAAAAAGTGAGGTTGTACACTTTCTATCAAACAAAACAGAAGAAAATTAAAACAATATTAGTGTTCGGCATAATCGGATTATATCAATAACCGATTATATCCGATACGATTATTTCAATAATCGGATGATAATTCGATTAAATAATCGGCGATTATAAATCGCATACTTTCATTCGGATTTCAATATCGGAATAATTTAATCGAATTGATAATTCGAATGAAAGTATGCGATTAATAATCGCCGTTTATTTTCGAATTAAGTAATCCGCGATTATTAATCGCATATTTTCATTCGGATTTCAAATTGAATGATTCATTCGGCGACTAGAATACCTACAATTGTAGGTATGACTATTTAAATAGTAATTTACGATTACGATGATACGATACGATTAAACTAGTATTTTCAGAATCGCTGCTGAATATTACATTCACTACATTCTATAAAATTAAAGAATAAAAAAAAGGTATTTATTATTGTTTAAATTGGATTTATATTTTTAACTACCTGTATTATTTGGTTCGACATTTTGTTCGTTAAGTCTTTAATCTTTGCGTAAAACCGTTGGGGGAAATGGTTAATCCACTGAATTATAGATTCCTTCCTTCCTTCCTCCCGTAGAAGATGAACATTACGTAATTGTCACCATTAACATTTCCCGTTTAGGTATTTTTAATACATTTTGATAAAATTTTGCAATTATAGTAATAAAAAAAATCAAAGAATAAAATATTTTCTTAACAAAATCATATTTTTAAGTAATTTTAATATTTTAAATTATCAATAATTGTTAGGTTTAATTAAAATTAATATCGGGCAATGTTAATGGTGACAATTACGTCAAAAATGTTTATTTAAATCGTATTGCCAGTTATAGATTCCCGTACCGTACGGGCACGACTACGGGAGGAAGGAAGGAAGGCAATCTATAATTCAGGCTTAAGGGTTAAACTGTCAAGTGTCACTTTTAGAGAAAATAGGCTTACCAACCGTCCCTTTGGTCTATTTTAGGTAAGATGAGTGCGCGTAAGTGGCCTGGCTTATCTCACTTTTGCTTGGCTCACTTCAAAAATGAAAGGAAAGCACCTAATATTTTACTCTTTTTATATTAGAAACTAAACCATTCCTAATAAGTTAAAAAGTTTAAATTGCAATTGGATCAATAATAGTTAAAAAAGTTATATACTCATGAAGTCTTTTTTATGATTTTTTTGTTGAATTTACGTGTTTGTGAAAAGTTTAATGTGTATACATGGTATACCATGCCTCTAAAAAAAGGGCATTTTGCGGATAGCTGGCTATTTCAATACGACGGAAATGTTTTTTATTGTCAAGTTTGTGAGAAAAATAATTCGTGCGCAAAAGAGATTGTAATTGTCAAGCATGTTTTATTATTTTAGGTTGCATATATTCAGCATTTTTAATGCATACTTCAAGCTTTTTATGATTTTAAAATAAATAATGCGTTGTCTTTCTTTACGCTACGTCACAAACGCGTCACGTAAGTAGAATGTATAATCTGGACACACTGGAGTTGCGGATAATTTTATAAAAATGGCGAATGCGCCGGGATTAATACTTGTTAGAATTAGATTTTTGTTAGGTTAAATAAACATTATCTACTCTCTAAAAATGAATTAGTCAAAAATGACTAATTGTCATAGCAAAAAAGCAGCCACTAATAATTTTCGTCAAAAGTAATTTGTATGCCGGACATCCGAAAATGTCGTCAAAAGTTATTAAAGTAGAAAAGTTTTTGAGATATATATATCTCTGACTATATAGTCAATTTTCCATATAATACGGAGGTGAGTATATATCTTCTTTCATTTTCGGATTCAGGAGACAATTTTACATAAGAATTGGCTATTAAATATTGGGGATACCATGGTATAAGTTAAAAAGCAGCCACTAATAAATGTAGTAACTACTCTCTTAAAATGAATTAGTCAAAAATAACTCATATTTGACTAATTTTTATAGCGAAAAAGCAGTCACTAATAATTAGTCGAATTCTACTGAATGAAATAGTCAAATTAGTAGATTTAAAAAAAGTTTTGATCTAGCCGGGGATTGAACTCAGGTCTGTCACTTGTCAAGCTGTTGTTATAACCCATTTGGCTATCAGCCGCTCTTATAAAAATCAATTTTATTTGTCAATAAATAGTGTAATAATATTTTAAAGTTGAATATATTATTTGTGTTGCTGTTTTGAGCTAAACTTTTTGCATCTTTATTTGTTTTTATGGGTCATTTAACCATGGAGCTTAGGTATATGCATTTAATTCAAATAATACTTTGTTGTTGACTGCAAACGTTTAAAGAAATTAGTTACTTTTAACTCTCAGAAATAGTCAAAGATGGTGACTAATCTTAAATTAGTCAAACTTTAACTATTTACGTAGTAAAAAATAACTATTTAAAAGTGAAAACGACTATTTAATTAGTAAAAAATGCTGGTACTAATTCAAATAGTAGAATTTTAACTATTTCATTTTTAGAGAGTCATTTTTGACTAATTAATTTTTAGAGAGTATATTAAATATTTTTTTTTTAATAAAAATTAAACATAAATATAAAAATTGTATCCTTACATCATTTAGTATAAATCTGTCATTCTGCTCTAAGTAACAATTAAAGAACTAAGTTATAACTGAAATGTAGATGCGCTACATCTGTCCATTCCAGCGCAAGGTCTGCCTAATGGAGAGGCGGCTTTACAGCATGCAGCGTACCAAGGAATGCAACCTTACCCAGGTGTTGGTAAGTTTTACCATAATTTATATTATTTAACAAATTACCTTTAATAAGATCACATGTCTTGAAATTGGTGTCGAGGTGTACTTTTCATGTTTAAGTGTAGCTTGATTACACCTATGTATGTTTTCGATGTTTCACCTAAATATATTATGTTTGCGTACGATGCTTTTAATATCAGTATACATTATTGTTTAAAAGTAAAATAATATTTTCTTCAATAATAAATAAATAAATTATGTATGTATTAATATAATTATAATGGTGTGAAAATGTCAGAAATATTAATCAAAATTTATATTGTAAAAATATAAACTGAAGATATTTGAAATTAAAGTTTTTTAGAATGGATGGGGGAGTAAATGGTTATTGAAAAATGATTACATAATGAAATGGAAAAATTAATACAAATTAATATAGACTAAGCGGTACCAATTCTTATGAACTGTTTTGCTAGCTATAACATAGTGTAAAATAAATTAATAAAGAAATAAATAAATAAATAAATGTATGTATACTGAACAAAATTTTATTTTTAATTATTTGTTATATTTTTGCTTTTTAACATAAAATTCAATTGACAATTTTACAATCAATATAAAATAGAAAATAGTAGATTGTTCTATAAGTAAAGAAAAGTTACAGTTTTATAGTGAGTGGAAATATCTTGGCCAGCATAGTACCTAAATCAAATTGAAAAACTCACTTTTCTTACGCATTGAACACGCTGTTTTTTTGCATTCTAAATGGAAAAGCATTAATTAAAAAAATAAAAATCATCATAGATTATTATAGTCACTCCTAGTATACAACCATAAAATATGACATAGACGATTCTAACCATAAAATTAGTACTTTTCTTTAAGATTTTCTCTCAATATGCTCTTTCTCAATAATAATACGTAAAAGTCAATTCAAATCAGGTCAAAACTTGGCCAGGAATTTCCCTTTGCCTTTAAAAAACTATTGCCAATAATTCTACAAGATGACTTTATTTTCCTACGTTTCTTGTGCAATCGCGATGACCAACAATAAACGATCAAATCGTGCCCAATAACATACAAAACAGTTTGGTTACCGTTGGTATAATTTTCGGAATGTTGGGCATGATGACTTATTTTTGACGTTTATTTGGGCAAATATTAGTCATTTTATTAGCAAATATCTGAACAAATCTCGAGTAATATTACCAGTAAAATATAAACTTTAAAGCTTTAAAAAAAATTCTCCATTTTATTGACATCAGATTCTAATAATAATAATAATAATAATAATTAACTGTTGTATTTAGTTTAATTTTTGGAAACTGTTGTATTTTTTACTCAAGTTGTTTTATATTTAACTTATAAATTTTAAAATTATTATTAGTTAACCCAGAGAGTGCTGTCATCAGCTTTTTAACCTAAATATTGTTTTATTTATATTATGCGCATAAGCCAGTATTTATGCGCATAATTGAGCAATAAGTTGCAAAGTTTCTACCAATCTGCATTACAAACATTTTCCCAATTTTTGACCGATCTTGGAAGTTGGGAGATGAATGCCATAAAATATGTCAATTTTTGGTCAAACGTGACTAGAATAACAACTAAAATGTCCAAATAAACGCCAATATATTGTAAAATATCATACGCCAAACTTGGTTAAAACAAAGTTGACCAACTTCTTTCCCAAACTTTGGTTCTCTGTGCTATTTCAAACAAACGCAATTTTAAATATTTTAACTATAAAAATACCGTTGTAATGCACCTAATCGATAAACGTTGTTTATTTACCAGTGGGGATTGTCTAAAATTATTTTTGAAAAAATGTAATGTTCAGTATTTTAAATAAATATTTTACACATAATAATAAAGAATTTTTTAATACAATAATAAAAAAGTTATACTGCATTCAAATAATACTACAGTTGCCGTTTTGTGATTGTTGCAATGGCGGCTGGTGGATTTTGCGTATACCGATATTTTGGTTAGTAGACATGAGACCCACACCAAATTTATAAAAGTTTATAATGACACTTAATTAAGAAGTTCTGCGCAAACAGAATTTAAAAAGAAGTTTGCGAAAAAAAAGATAATACAAATTTTAGTAGTGCAATTTATATAATTGACAAATTTATTTAAAAAATCAAAGTATTACAGATTTTACACCATTTTAAATTTGTATTAATTTTCCTAAAATAATAAAAATAAAATCTGTAATAAATAAATTTTGATATTTGTCAATAAACTATGGTAAATTATAAATTGCACCACTAAAATTAATATTATCTCCATTAGGCGGGTCAGGATGCTGGGAAGCTGCAGCAAAAAGAATCTTTTTTCTTAAAATTTTATTTAAATTCTGCTTGCGCAGATTTAAATTAATTTAGTGTCATTATAAATTCTTATAAATTGGGTGTGGGTCCCATGTCTAATAACTGAGATATGGCTTATGCAAAATCCACCAGCCGCCACTGGATTGTAGTCCCACAAAAATCGAAAAAATAACTTATAAAGCACACAAAAATACGAAATTTAGCATGTAAATTCAATTTGTCCGGGGCTTAACAATATACGTCGCCTAATGAAGCACCTTTGTAAATAAAATGCTGCAACGTTATTTGCCGGGGCCGATATTTGAATACAGTTTGATTGACCATTGACAAGCATGTTTGGTTGCATTGGTAAAAGTATTGGTGTGATTTGTTTATATTTGTCAGCAGCTTACCCTGCAGTCTATGGCCAATTCCCTCAGGCCATTCCGCAGCCAATGTCGGCAGTTGCTCCTGCACAAAGAGAAGGTAAGATAATAATTTTTAAGTTATATAAAGTGAAACCATTCCCAAAATGGAATGGTTTAAGTTTACTCAAAAAGTCTATCAATAATTAATTTTAAAATGCTTACTGTGAGGATGAAAAAATCTAAAAAAAAAATCATTCTACCTATAAGTATACTTGTACACTTTACATACAAGTAAATTTTTTATAAATTAATCGTTGATGACAATTATTGTAAATAAACTCTTAAATGGCAGCATTTAAATGTTTTATGTATTTTATGTATACAGGGTGTCCCACAATTCTAGTTAAATATCCTTAACTTTTAAGGTTCTGGGTTTACTTTTACAGTTTCCTCAATATATTTTTGTGTGTTGTGGGACAAAAACCTTTGTAAAGATTTCCTTGTTAAGCATATTTTTAGCAGAATCCTAAAAGCTCCAAAACATATGCTTAAAATGGTATTTTATGTATTTTATGTTAATGCAACGTATTTTTCCTAGCTTTTCGAAATTCGTTTTGGCATGAAGGTTAGAATGAATTTTTTATTAATTTTTTTAGTTTTAATTTTGTAAATTTTAAATTATGTGTTGTGTTGCACTTATTGTTAAATTTAGTTTTAATTTTTAGTACATACACATTAAAAAGCATTAACATCGAAGTAAAGTGCACTAATATAAAATTTACTAAAACAAATTATATAGGGTGCCCAAAAAGTTGTTTCTCAACGAAGACCATTGTGATTTTATTGTAAAAATAAGTTGTAAAGGTCTTAAAAATAATTTCTATTACCTAATACATTTTTTTTAAATTTTTTTATTCTTAAAAAATTTAGTTTTAACATATTAATTACTTATTATTAAAAGTAAAGCAGTTATACCATATAGGTACTGAATTTATTTATATATTGGGTATTTTTAACAAATATAAAATTGTTTTAAAATATTTAATAATGTCTTTGGTACACCCTATATAATTAATGTAAGAAATCGTATTTCTGAACCTGTATTTTTAAGTACTGAATTATAAAAGTGAGTAAATAAGCACTCAGGTGATACGAGTAGTTAACTACAGTTTGTAAAAATTCACCAGCCACTTTAACAGTTAAGTGTCCTTTATGGCTCAAGTATAAATTATTCATATGTAATCTCTTGCTTGAAATATTACTGAAAATTTTTTTTAATCCTAAAATACTTTATTTGGCAGTGTGTAATTAAACAGCAAGGAATGTCACCTACACACTTAACAAACATATCAATTCCTGTATAATTATTATAATGTTTTGGTTATTAGTGTGGAGATAAATTGTTTTTGTTTGTGTTCTCAGGCTGTTCCATATCCGGTCCAGAGGGTTGCAACCTTTTCATTTACCACTTACCGCAAGAGTTTGGAGATGCCGAACTAATGCAAATGTTTCTGCCCTTTGGAAACGTAATCAGTTCAAAAGTATTTATTGACCGTGCCACAAATCAGAGCAAATGTTTTGGTAAGTACAATTATTTAGGTACCTATACAATGATTACTTGTTAGGTGTCCTTTTGATATAACAGAATAATGTAATACAACATCAACCAGTAACTTGGTAAAATTGTTGTTTCATTTATAAACGGTACCATGTACCTATGGCAAATAAAGAGATATCAGATCTCTTTATTTGCCATAGGTACCCTTGCAGTGTGCTTTTAAATATAATTTAGAGGTAGATATTAAACAAAAAACTTTTTAATATTCGACCATGATAAAAACAAAAGGTCAATAATTTGAAAATAAAAGGTCGAATAAATGGTTATAAATAACCATTTATTCGACCATAAATTTATGTCATAAGGCTAAGAAGTTCGATGAGTCTCAGCCGAATGGCATACATTTTATCTTCAAGGCACAGTTTTATTTCTTAAACGATACATAAAACGTACAATTATAAAAACATTATTAAAAGTATAAAGTCAGGTTCGATAGTCCGTAGTTATCGAATTTTTTTATTGGTTCTAACGGTTTTTTACAGACTAGGCTGTAAAAAACCTAATAGGTCTAAATTATTTTTACAGATTAGGACACAGACTCTTTGGCTTAGGAGATAATCGAATACTTTGGTAGTGAACGTTGACAATAATAAAGCTTAAATTATAGAACGATTGAAGATAAAAATATTTACTTGAAAAAAGTCTTAATGATTAGATAGAGCTCAATCAAATTATCGACCTTATTTTCTTCTAACATAAATCTCTTTTTTTTGTTGGTTGATATTTTTAATAAAAATGTTTTACATAAATATTGTAGATATATTAAAGTTTTATGTTTTGCTTATTAAATAAAATTGTGGCTTGAAGATATTTGAATGTTTTATGTCACTCGGCTAAGTGTTTTTTGTGCTTCTCTCAATTGTAAGCCTGGAGGCTACGCGAAGATCGAACTTTGAGCTCAGCACTTCTCAGCCTAATTACATAAACTATTATTTGAAAACAACAAAGGTCGATAATTTTAAAATAAAATATAAAAAATATGTATTTGAAAAAAGTGTTGGTCTCGATAGGATCTATAACCTCAAATAATAAACTTTTGGGTTAGTTTTCTGATACAAAGAAATACATTTCAGAAAATCCCTTTCCAATCCATTTATAACATTTTCAGAAATTGATTAATGTTATACCTAAACAATAAAAATTATCTTTTGTCCTTTATTAAGTAATTATAAGTTAGATAACATTATGAGATTCATAATTGACGCATATTGCAGTCACAACGTGATTGTTAATCCGCACGTATGCACGCATGTATGCATCATTTGCGTCATCAAATGAGGGTCATATAGCCAGCACATGTGATGATTGGAGAAACGTTGTGCTATTCATAATTGACAAAGATCAATTCCAATTTGGAATTCCAAATAAAATTATGTACATTTTTTATACAAATTTAGTCTTTACAAATCCAGTCTTTACACAAATTAACCATGTGGTGTAAGTCAATTTTTTGAAAGTTTAGTAATATGAAGTAAAATCAACAATTTTCGAAAAATTGTAGATGTAACGCATTTTGTTAATCTAGTATCTACAATTTTGCGATAACTATTTAGCAAACGTGAAAAGTTTGCAATCATTTCGTGCCCTTATATACGAATTACGTGCGTGTATTCACATTCATCATGATTCCGCACGAAGTGAAGGCGATGTGCGTTTTGATGCCCCTCACGGTTGTTATCTGGGAATATTTTAGATACTACATTGCTGAAATGTAGTATCTAAAATATTCCCAGATAACAACAATATATTGTCAAGTCAGGTCATTCAAATTGGTAGACCCTTGACTAATGCTAAATGTATCACTATTTTCTTGTATTTAAGTATTTTGTAACTAATGCAATGTTTTTTTTAGGGTTTGTATCGTTTGATAACCCGACAAGCGCTCAAGCTGCCATCCAAGCAATGAATGGCTTCCAAATCGGCATGAAAAGACTAAAGGTTCAATTAAAGCGGCCCAAAGATGCAAACAGGCCGTACTAACAAATGGTCCATCGCCGAATGGGCCCGTCCCTCCGCAGGGAGCGCGTTCGCCAGCCATTAGTATACTAGACGTACTTTATACATACTAATTAACCTATAGATACAAACCTACTTAGAGCTCGACAAAGTTAAGTAGTTTGTACTTATGAGGTTAAGAAATAAAAATAAAAAATATAAAAACATGCCTGGTTACACTCCGAGCACACGCAGACCGCGGACACCCCCAACCCGCCCCCTTCGAGAAATTCCAAATGGGCTGTGATTAAATAACAAATCAGTGTTTGATTGTACAGGCCGTTTTGTATTCTCGTTCGTTTTGTAAAACTTTAACATAAATATGTTATGTATTTTAGCTCTGTATTGTATTGTACTTATAGTAAAAATGATTGTCGTGTGGTAAAATTAACTTAATTGGACTAAAAATCTCTAGGGATGGTGGTGCTGGCGCCTGCTTCGTTGCCAAATTTAATCCAGGCATGTCACCTGTGATGCTATGCTGTAGTCTCAGCAGCTCGGAGTTGTATTCATAGGAATAAAGCACACAGTCAGGCTCCAAAATGGAGCCATTGGCATATTTATATATACATATATATATATTTATTTAAATATTAACAATACCTTTACAAAATAGTGTAATATTTCTACTAAATTAAGTACATAATCTTTACAAAGTACCAACTATATATTAATCTGTAAATTTTTAATGTAGTTTTAGTCTAGGCAAAAGAGTGGTCGAAATACCATAGGGTATAAGTAACCATGATCGATTTTAGAACTGCCCCCTATGCTCAATTTTACCCGACTAACCCGTCAAATCGCGCGAGCTTGCCTTTATTTATTCAATAAATACCTATTATTCAAATATTTTGTATCATATTTAAATTGTTTAAAATAAGCATCGTTTTACATAAAATAGACTGGCTACAATCATTATTTTCAATTGCATCTAGTAAGTAATGAAGAAACAATAATTGTACATTAATAAAGTAGGTTATCAGAAAATGTTGAATTAGGTAAGAATCTCGAGCTTATTAAAATTTGGACGCTCGCTTAAGGTGATTATAAGTAGTACTTAGTTAATTGATTTTGAGCGGGTTGGAAGAGTTAGAGTTGAGTGGAATGGTGGGCGTTCGCAATTTATGAATTTTATCAAATATATACCTAAGTTTTTAATGTAATATCAAAATGCAAGTTGTGCGTTGTGCGCCAGCCAAATAAAATAAAAACTAGTTGTTGAGAGTTAGATGACGCTTTACGGGATGCGCATGTTGGTCCCCCAGGCCGGCGTGAGATGAGTGGGACGAGTCACACACACACACACTTACACATACACTCGGCTGGGCTACTCTAGTCAAATTATCCAGCCTCTGCGGGCTGCAGATTAGTAAATATGATTAGGATTAATTTAGTTTTTAAGACTTATTATTAGGGTACACATAATATTTATTATTATATTTAGATAAACATTTACATATTATTTATTTTGTTTTTTGGCTAAGATACTATTGTGCAATATTAACAGATCGACTGATTCACTTGTAAGAGTTGAAACGTACTTATTTTCTATTAATTGTTTACAAAAATAACAAACCAATAGGTTGCTAAACTATTTTTTGATTACGCTGTTTTCTTTATTTAGTATTAGTGCATTCCACGCTTGCTAATGACATTCCTTCGGCGCTGGAACTTCTTACATATATAAGTATAACATATATTTTTAAAACTAACCCGACCGGGAGGGGCAATTCCCGACCTATCTAGTCTAATATTAATTAATAATAAAATATGAATGAAAAAGTAAAAATTTAATGTGGGCTCCCCAATCAGATAAGAGCAGAAAATGTCTAACCGCAGCGAAGTGATTCTAGGATACAGGGTATGTTTTTGCAATTATTTGTGTAACTATTTCTCATTGTGAAAAAACGGGCGGCGCTCATTGGCGTGTTGATTTTTTTATAATAAATAAACACGCGTAGACGCTTCCCAAGCGGGTCCCAACGTCGCCATCAACTTTTCATCCCATGCTGTATATACCTATATTGGGGTCCATTCGATTGCACCTTTTTATACAAATATAGGTTCTTTATCTGTCTTAAACACACGGGCAGACTCGTATCTATCTGTCTTTTATCTATTATTATTTGTGTTCGCATTATTTTTGGCTCATATTTTATTTCAATATACAGGGTAGGCCTTTTCAGTACAAAAAAATCTTGTGCTACATCTTCTAAACTAAGATTTTTATATGGTTATAGCTGAGAAGATCATTTTGAGTTACCCTGTTTATTAAGTCTTAAAAAGGACACCCTGTTAATCGATTTACCCTCAAATTGATCATATTTATCATTATTTTAGCTATTAGGTGGTAGTCTAGGTACATTGCATCTATAGTTTCTAGTCATTATTTTAACTTGTATGGCATCAATTTTATTTAGGTAGGTAATGAATTACCTAATGTGGTACTCATACTCACTTGCAGAGTCTGATATCAACCAATTTACCTGTACTTTCTTTCATTTTTGTTTACCAGACATTTTTGCATATTCTAGTCAATGGTATTTATCTGTTTACCAAAGATTTAATTGTGAGTCATATTGTATATATTTTTATACGTTAACTCTATATTTCTGTTACCTACTACCTTATTTATTACTTTATTTATATACACATATTTAAATTATTTATTTAATTACAAATTTAAAAAATGCATTTTAGAGGCTTATGCTTATCTACAGTATTATATAACAAGTGATTTTTATGGAATAAGAAGCATGTCGCGGGTAAGAGTACCCAACTATCATAATTGAATCAATTGCCATATAGTTTATAGCCATACTTGGTTGCATGACAAAATTATAACATTTTACACAAAAATTAAATTAAATTATTATATTATATTAAAGTAGATAATTAAATTAAAATTTATAACCCGCTAAACTTGTAATACGATAATGTAAAAACATATGAGTAAATTAGATAATGAATGCGTGAAATTTCTATTCATGTATGAACAAAAGATTATCATAATTATTATTTTTACACTGTCAATTTTTGCTGGTGTTTAATAAAATTATTACTTTTACATTGTATAACTTTTAAAATATCAGATTATAATATTGTATTATACTGTACTAGTAATTTACATAATATTTTACATAATGTGCGACTTTCGGTCTGAATTATGTATCAAGACATGACTCGGGCGCATTTTAATGCTCAAACAATCTATTATTGGAAGTCTTTTAAAAAGTCATGTCACTAATTATTATTAAAATATTATTATTACTTACTAACTTTCATCCGAGTAGACTCAAACCAAACAAATATTAAAATATTTAGACTTTAACAAAATAAACTAATTAAAACATGAACTTTTAATTTGACTTGGTTTGAGTTTATTTTGAAAAGCTATCCAGTTCATATGAAACTTTATAAAAGAATTATAAATTAATAAAGTTAAATATAATGCAACTTTTTTTGTTTTTTTTCCTATAATACTATTTTAGTGAAAAAATTAATACCTACCAAAGAGATAGGCCCATCTAAATGTTGAAAATTAAACAGACATAAAGGGAGGTCACCAAACACTGTGCATAGTAGTTTAACAGGGGAGACGGCCTCAGAAGATAAAACGACTCTTGTCTGAAAAAGTTTTGCAATTCTCACTTTCTCTTAAAAACTCAGAATAAGACTTAATAAGTCGAAAAACTTAAAATATGACTTATTAAGTCTCAAACACTCAGAATAAGACTTAGTCAGACTAATAGCAAAATTTGGAAGAGTTATTCTGACTTAATGAAACTTCTGCAGAGAAATGGTACCTATCCCAGATAGCACAAGTACGTTCGTAGGACGTTCGTAGGACTTCCACCCAGGACAACCCGAACGTCCTCAGGATGTCCGGGGTCTGCAAAAGTACGTTCGTAGTACGTCCACAGACTTCCGAAATAGACTGTTTCAGATGTCCTCAGGACGTCCGTATTTGACCCCAAGCTGTCCAATTCGGGACATATGAGGACCGAATTAGGACATAGTTTTATTATAATAAAAAAGTTTACAGACGTCCTGGAGAGGTATATCCTATAAGTTCAGTCCTGAAATTCTCTGAATCGCAAGATACGTTTTTAACACACTCGACTAGCTAGACATTATTCGTTACTGAGCAGATGAGAATGGAGATGGGGACTCCAAACAATTAATGTTCAGCTATGCCATTGCGGACACACACTTCCAACTAAATATTTCAACCAATCGCTATTTATAGTTAGCTCGCGTGCGTAAGCAGCCGTGAGATGTATCGATTATGCCGCGGCAGGCCGAATTCCAGCCGTAAGCGGGCTGGCTAGGGCAAGCCGAAGGATTTTGCATCGGCATGCCGTATTCTGGCCGACTTCGGTTAGAACATGGCTAAACGGTACCGGGGTAACATAACGCGGGCCCTAATTATAATTATATAAGTAAAAAAAATGGACAACTCTTTTTAAAATCTTTTATCGTGCTTTATTAAAGAGTATTTTTAATAAAAAACAAGGTGTAATTTTTTTTCACTTAGACCCTTTATAAAGGGTGATATATCAAATTCTATCTTCAACTTTCGTCGCAGGCAGAAAACCGATGGACGTACTGAGGCCTAGGCCTCAGGATGTCCATCGGCCTAGGCCTCAGTACGTCCATCGGTTTTCTGGTCGCGACCGTCTGTAAAGGATTTAAACCGGATGTCCTCAGGACATCTTGTGCTATCTGGGATAGGGATAAAAATAAATATTTAAAATTATTTAGAGATCTTTTATTTGGTTATTGTAAAATAAAACACGAAGAAGAGTATTTATAAACATTTGGATTGAAGTTTATCACAATGACACAGTTGAAACATAGGTAGCTATCAAGGTACGCCTCACTTGTAGAACACATAAAATGCACTTATTGAATACATACTTAAGGTGTAATAATTTTAACAATTATAATTTTTTGCAATGCCTACGATGCGCTTGCTTTTATTG